AAACCGACGATTGCGCCCATTATGCAGCACATGTTACATATCGCCGCGAACGTCGCAGTGAGAACAATAATTCTAGGGCCATCAATCACTGATGACACTAAACTGATGAGCGGTAAAAACGTTTAAAGCGTCGCCTATGGCCAATTTTGGCTGCGGTCGTTTTCTGCGATTTTGCGGGCGTGCGCAATTTTAAAGGTTGACATGTTTAGTTTCTATTAACCTGACGTGACCCCGACTTTTATATTTTACCAAAAAATTGGGGTGAAAAAAAATGTTTCATAAATTTTATAGGGAAACATGTTTTTTTTCAAAATTTAGGCTACTTTTTTTGTTGTATAGTAAAAAATAAAAACCCCATTGGTGAATAAAAGCCACCAAAAGAAACCTCTATCTGTCCCCAAAAAAATGGTATGAAAATCGTTTCAGTAAAGCGTTGCATGACGGAATAAACATCAGTCAAAGTACCGCAGCGCTGAATACTGAAAAATGGCCTGGACAGTAAGGGGGTGAAACACCATGGCCTTTAAGTGGTTAAAAAAGTGGCATCGGGACATCCCTAGTTTTAACCCTTCCTTACTTTATCTAAAGCTAAAAATGTTTTTGGGGGAGTTGGGCTTTATAGCAACTCTGACAAACACACAAAAAAAGTGGGCCTCTTCAGCATCTAGCACACTTCTGGGTATGTCAAATGCCTGGTTCCCATGCTTTTTGGTTCCACCTGGTCCCCATGTCCTGTAGTGACACAAACCACAGAGTGCATCTGACACTGCCGTGAAATGTGGAATGCAGAAGATCTTTTATTCAAGCATTGTTCCTTATCCCAGAGGAGTTCTGACGTGTGATTATGTTAGTGAAAGCTAGTATTAGAATGTAGTATGTAGCAAATTACAACATTCATTGAGTCCTGGTATCTGAATGGACCGAGATATAAATACATTTAATGGTTGCCTTAATTATATATTGATTATCACCTGTGTTCAAAGAAATCCATTATTTAGCAGCCTTCATCTTGAAGAAAAGAACATTAGTTGATCTACAGCACAATAAATTAAACTATTTAGCAGGTTGTTGAGCAAGCATGATATAGGAACCCAACATACTTGTTCTAAATAAATAGATTTATATGCAGTTTAAACAGAAAAGTGTTTTTCCCTGTATAAATATGCATATTTATACATACTTATATAACAATTAAACCATTTAAAATAATTATCCATCCAATACATGGTTGAAAGCTGACACTTGGCCTATAGTAACAGAATGGCAAACCTGATAGAGAAGTATAATATTACACTGCAGTAAAACTTGTAAACTGGTAAATGTAAATGTTAAGAATGTGTAAATAGTTTTCTTGCCCATGACGTGCTGTAAATAATTGTCACATATTGAAATTTTGATGAAATGTGGAACAGTAATGGGGCCATCAAGTAAACTTACCCCCTTTGAAACTTCTGTGTGCTAGTCATACCAGAACAATAACCAGTGATAATACATTGAAATGATTAAATAAGGAAAAAAGGAACAGATATGTGGTTGGGAAATCATAGGAAATAGATACATGAAAGAAGAAAAGAAAATTTGCAATACCAGACAAATAGACTCAAGAAATGTAAGGCTAGGTTCACATGTTTCCAGTATGGTGTGTTGCATTAAAGGAGAACTATGGGGTCAGGGCTTTTCCCCATAGTTCTCCTTAGGGTAACGGGAGGACACAAACTAGCGTCCTCCCGTTACCCTAAGCTCAGTATACCGCGAGCTACAGCTCGCGGTATACTGAGGCGCCGCAGCCGAAGCGGATCCCGACATCGATGTCGAGATCCGCCCAGCTGCGTGAGTGACAGCTGGCTCTGCCTATCTAGAGGCAGAGCCAGCTGTACCCGCCCCCTCCCCGTCCGTTCCGCCAGTCAGCGCTGGCGGATCGGAGCAGGGAGGGGGGAATCCAGCCCCTCCCCTGTCACGGCAGAGAGCCGTGACAGGATCGAGAGGTGAGCGAACGCCGGTATATGTTCGCTCACCTCCCGATCTACTGAGCCAACCTGTGACAGTCTCATTGTCACAGGTCGGCTAGAACTATGAGGTGAGTGAGAAGCACTCACCTCATAGTTCTCCTTTAAGGCAACCCATTCAAGAAATGTCCAACAAAATGGACATGCATTTTTTATGGCAACACAGCCCTCCACAATGCATGGTAGTGTGTTGGAGCTATGTTGCCTTTATGTGCTGGGGTGGCATTTAAAATGCATGGCATTGCAACCTGCTAATGCACATAACATGTATTAATGTGTATGTTCTTGTGTTTGTTACCACAGCGGAAAAGTGTGAACCCAACCTAAGTGTAATTTTCAGCTCCTTTGTTTGAGTAAACTTTTCATTCTAGAAGCATATTAATATAGTTGTGCTTTTATAATGCTGCTTGTCTCCTCCTTTTCCCAAAACATTCAACCTAAGCAGACTAACCACAGATTTGCAAATTGTGACTTTTAGTGCAAGGGCAACAGCTAACCTTTCATCTATATGTGATTGCACATGAAGAGTTAAAGTGTCCTTAATGTGACGATTGAATTTAGAAGAATAAAAGTCTATTAAGTCTTGGATAAAAGAGGTACAACAGGTGAAACTCAAATGGTATGTCAGGGCTGACACATAACCTACATTTTGTTTTTATATTTGTATCGGGGGGAGACAGCCTGTGTCTCCCCTGCATCACTGTGAGTCAGTGAGATATGCTGTATCTTTGCCCGACTCCACCATTGCATCATTATGATTGTCACATAATAACATAAATAACAAGAAGAAAAGTTCATAGCATATTTTTTTATGATTTAGATCTGCTGAGCTATGACATGCTGAGATGAAGAGCTAACATATATAGCTCCTATTTTCAATTCTTCCACCGGTGATATCTATTAGCACCACGAGGGGCACGTGAACACTATTTGGTTTTGTTTTTTATTGCCTTTATAACATTGCATTAGGGTCATGTTATATGGTCGGTTAAAGTGGCTTCTTCACTTTAAAAAAAACCTAGGGGTGTCTGCCCATATCTGCAACAACTTTAATTGCTTTCTGCACACCAAATTGCTGGGCCACTTTGAATGTGCAAAGCAGAGAGGCAGCCCTTCACAGTGGTGGACCAATAGAAATATATGGATGAGCGGAGGGAGGACATGTTCCAGTACTACCTGGAAATCCCTTAGCTATGCCCATTTAGAATGGCTTGACATTTGGGCATGGGCAAATCACTTGATGATGCTGCATGTATGTACAGAAACCTCTAGGTGCCAGCACTTCAGATCTGCTAGCAGCTTTACTTGCTGTAAGGTGACTGTGCTCTGTAGGTGCCCATAATGGTTAGAAGAGTTCTTCTTTAATAGCAAACAAGAAACAAGCTTAGAATATACTGTTTGTCAACAAGGGTATACAGTAAAGGACCCTTTTACTTTTGTTCAGTGTTTGCTGGCAAAAGTGCAAGCTGCGCTGTGCAAGAAGTATGCTGCCACATCCAGCACAAATCCCTCTTTGTCCTATCATATCATACAGATAATGTTATATCTTAACTACTAAACATCCAAGAGTGCTGCCATTAATCAGCATGGAATGGTAATTGAAGGCATTAGCTTATTGCCGTCTAACATCTTTGAGATTGCACTTCCAGCTGTTACTACATAATCAATAGCTAAAATATGTGTTGATCTTACAGCAAATGTGCTGTCCTTATCCAAGGTTTCATCCCAGGCTCCCTTTGCTGCATCATAGTACAGTGTAAGGTCTCTGTGGTTCATTGAGACTTCATTTAATGTATTGATCAAAGCTCTGCACCTCTTCATCTTAGTCAAGTAGAAATGATCTTTGCACTTATGAATGGGTTGTTTCCTTAATGAATCACGAGCTTCAGGTACTCAGAGTGTCTTCAGTTTTAGCACTCTTGATGTAGGCTCCTTGGCACTGGAGTACATGATGTAGGAGCCATTGCCAGTTTTAAATGCTTCCCAGTCCCGACAGCCGTACGTAGGTAAGTAATGGACAGCCACAAAACCCTCATAGCCCTGCCACCTGGAAGAAAGATGCAAAAGTAAATCATACCAATTCCTCCAGTCTACAATATTTTTTGTGATTTTGTTCACCTGAGCTAATATTTGGATGTCAGATGCCATCGGACTTAATGTAGTAACTACATGCTTTGCAAAAACTGCAAGGTTTATACATCTTCTATGACCTGGGCCATCCCTATAATTAGGCCTCAGGCAGCATCTCATTGGGTCACGTGGGGGGTGCATCCCACACAGAGTTGTGCAGGACACGGGACATTGCTGGAGCTGGAAATGTGCAACACCAGCACCCCTTCCCCCAAGTAACATGCAGAGAAGCTTCCCCCAAAACTAGTACTACCAGCAAACCCTCACCGGTAATGTGCACTGAAAACGCCCCCCCTTGCATGTTCACACATTGTGTGTAATTCTGTATTTTTTGCAGCAGCTTATACATTTGCAGACGGCCCAATCTTTTTAAAAAGCACTATAATAACATTTGGCTGTCTGAATTTGTATTTTTACATGTATCTAGTTTTAACAGGGATGTTATAGTACTAGTAACATTTTGTTATAATAATGTGTATTAAAGCAAGGCTCAATTCACTTTACTACAGCGATTTACCAAAATAATTATTTTCATTAGCGTGTGCCAATGAGAACTGTAAATAGCAATCACATGGCTGAATTAATGACCGTTACAGCAAAAGAGATATGCATAAAAGCTTGGTAATTCGATTTTGTGCTTTGACAGGCTAGCATCACACTGTACCATGCTTCATAACATTCAGAGAGCTATCCGGTATTTTGGAGGCTAATATCAGAATATTCAATACATCAAAATAACATTGTCAGTTTGCAGATGTGCCCGAAACTAAGACCTAGATATTTATTTGTGAATTTTCTTGAGACCTCTGTTTTATAATATAATGTGCATATCAGGATTGGTGATCCTTTATCGTGTTTATCTGTTTTTTTATAGTTGTAATCAGGTAGGAGGCTCACCTGTATATAACACTGTTTACAGAAAATGAATTGCCATCATAAGAATTTGCCACAACCAGAAAATAGTCCTCTCCAACTGTAAAGAATTCCCAGTCCACGGCACTGGTAAAAAGAAACAACATTAAAAGGCTGTGATTGAGAAAACCCATTATACCGATATGTCATCAGGCAAGTTATGGCTTACATTTTTTTTAGTGCAATTAGAAAATGTAAGTTTACATGTCACCCAATTTGTTTCTATAGACAACATCTCTATTCACTTTTCCTCTTACACAGAAGAAAAAATCTATTATAGATCTGCAGTTTATGCAGACACTAATTGCATCTGGCTTATGTTACTGTCCAATACAGGTAATTCATTTGTCTGGCAGTAACAGATGCTGCATTGTTCAGCACATCTCGGTACAGTCTTTGATGAGTTGATTAATCAGTGTACAACTGCACAGTCCTTTGTGTAAAAGGCTAAATTATGCTGTTTTAGAGTTCTGGGAGGAAGTAGAGAGGCTGACTGCCACCAGGGTCCAGAAATCGTCCATCACAGAGAAGGCTGATCAATTTTTACTGTCATGGTCACATATAAATCCTGCCCATAAAGATGTTACATGCCGGAGGAAAACAAATTAGCAGATTCACGCTGCTTAAAAGAATGTTTTTCACCTTAGAAATCCTCATGGATAATCGGTTAGTATGCAAGATAGCTTTCTCACATAACAATTTATAGCAATGAAGGGGCAAACTGAAGTCCTTGGATTACACATGAACAATGCCTATATTAAAGCAGCTATTTCTTCATCTCCAATAAAAGCTGTTTTATAATGATCACCTTAGAAAAAGGTGGAAAGAAAACAACAAGGATTGACTGAGCCCCATAGCAAAAAAAAGCAGGCTTAGATAAGATGAGAACACGATTCAAGGTATTAACATTCCTGTTTCTCAAGGGAATTCCTAACGAGCCATAGAAAGATAAATATGTGTACTGCATATAATCATCAGTTATCTAGATTAATGTGCAGAATCACAGACATATAAAGGGTTGTCACCTTTTTGTGGAAAAATATACTGGTTTGTGGTCTCTTTCCTATTAATAACATTGGCAATAAGTCCCCTTTTTTAGCAGGTGGTAACCTGGTGAAATATTATCTCACCTGTGCATCCTACATTATGACATCATCAGGAGCTACATTATGTGCTATTTCTGCTAAGCAAGTGACAAACAAAAGAAACACTGTGATCTGATGTAATAGTCGGGACTAATCAGATTAGGTAACAACATTCAAATAGTCTATAAACTATGCAAATTTCATCTGGTTCTTGTTGAACCAGCCGAAATTTGCACAGTAGGTGACCCTGCCGGCACCTGCTGCCACTCGGCATACCTCAATCAGCTGAATATTCGCCCTGAACAGTGCTTGCAGCCATTTAGCTAGCCTGCTGCTGCTTTCAAAATATAATGCAAAACCGCAGGGGATTCCTTCATCCACACCCATAAGCGTTGATGGAGGAATCTGTTATATTTTCTTTGCTCAGCCAACAGCTTGAACAAAAAAAATATATAACCGTGTATACCCAGCTTAACAAAGCAGTTCTACTGATTCCCTCCTTTTATGTGCTTAAAGCCTAACTGCAGGCTAAAGGCTTTTTTATTAAAAAGGTCCCCTAGGCAGAGCTTAAAAAAGTAGCTCATGCTGCTATACTTACCTTCAATCCAGAGCTGTGCCTAGCAGTACCTCTTATTCGTCATATTATGTCCTCTGTTTTGGGGTTGAATGACACCCAGTATTACTTAATCTGGATAACTGAGCACATACTGTGAGTGAAAGGCTTCATGGGACTGCAATCTAAGGTAGTGTTATCACTGTTCCCTTTACCTACAGTGTACTGGTGCATGTAGTGGTGCCGACATCATCACGTCTGTGCCACTCTCTGCATCAGTAAAGACTGCTTAGCTTGGAGAAGAGGCAAAGAGGACCATGTGGTATCACATGTCCAACATGAAAACATCAGAAAAGATGAACAGGTGGCCCCCACTGGCATAAAATAATGCCAGTAGGGGCCACAGGGGAAGAGGCTCAATTGGGGGCAGCACAGAACCCAAAGGTGGGCTTTAAAGAGAACAAGTTACAAATAAATGTATTCGAAAAATTTAATATTCAGTCTTAAATGATTGTAATTGTGTAGGCTTATTTACCAAAGATATAGATTTCCCTCCTTATCAAGCTTTATTTACTTTCTCTGAGGACAACAACGGAGGTAAGGGTCAATGCCGAGACCTATGTGAGGTCTGGCCTGTCAACTGCCTGACCTTGTGCTTATAATATCCATGGTGTCCCAGTTCTTGTGTGTGCATATAAGTATGAAACAACAGAACCACCATAATAAAAGTGTATATTAACCTTGAAGAGCACCCAGGAGTGCACATAGCATGCAGAGACCATTGCTGTCACGTGACTGCTGCAAAAATAAATTAAGGTATTTATCGGCTGTTTTTCCCAAAAAATATTTCAAATATGCTTACTATTTGGATCTGCACTATGGCATGATTGTACAAATTGATGTGGCGTCACATATACTTTTAGTAGTTCGTATCTGTGGTGTCAGGAGTTGGTTACAGTATGTGTTATGTGATTTGTCATTCAACTCAAGAGTTGTCCTCATATAAAGTAAAGCTAAATAAAAGGGCAGACATACATTTTTATAGGTTAGCCTGCACAATTCTAATTTTTTAAAACTGAAAATGTTAGTTTTTGTATAAGCCCAATTAGAGATGGTTCTCTTTAATTAGATGACTATGCGTGCGCGATTACATCATCGCGCACGTGCGTGGTGACGTCACGCACATGCGCGATGATGTCACTATGGGGTGTCACCCTGCCTCGTGATGCCCCTGGGCATAACTAGAAATCACAAGTCCCAGTAGAAAAAATTTGCTCCACTCCAACAGGGAAAAAAAATACCCTAAAACACCCTAACTGCCATGCCAGGTTACAAAGGACTGAACAGGATATGGCAGTGGTCATCATCCACGCATCAGGCCTAAGCAAAACCGGCAATAGATAAATAATTTAGTGTTGTAAATACTAAAATGTTCAAACAAATGGAGCATTATGTAATCATGTATGATTAAATGTTACTACATGCTACTTGTGTTTATTATGGAACCATTCATTCCATCTGTTTAGTAATCATTCATGGCCATTAGCAATTAAAGTAGATGTAAAAACATTAGTGGATAAAGCCATAATGACATGGCTGAAAGCTTCCTTAGTTATGTCCCATAAACAAACATTCTGAAAATCCAAATTAGCTTTTGCACTTATTTTTGCTACCGTCACATTGCCGTTGAAGCCCTGCTTTCTCTCAAACTTCGAGTGTGCGGGTGAGACACTCCAAAAGCAGATTATCTACTATCAATCAAGTTGGGTGGTAGGGAGGGTCAGCCTGCAGTGCCCTATGGAACTACAGGAACGCCGTGTGTTGGCAGGGCATCCTGTAGGTCCCATGTAAGGAAGCAGAGACGCATAATGGCCACACATGGATCTGCTTCAATGCTTAAAGGAGAACTATGGGGTCAGGGCTTTTCTCCATAGTTCTCCTTAGGGTAACGGGAGGACACAAACTAGCGTCCTCCAGTCACCCTAGGCTCAGTATACCGCTCGCTGTTACTCGCAGTATGCTGAGACGCCGCAGCTGAAGCGGATCCCGACAATTGTGCCGGGATCCGCCCAGCTGCGTAACTGACAGCTGGCTCTGCCTATCTAAAGAGCCAGATGTAGCCACCCCGTCCGTTCCGCCAGTCAGCCCTGGCGGAACGGAGCGGGGAGGGGGGAATCCAGCCCCTGTCACGGCAGAGAGCCGTGACAGGATCGAGAGGTGAGTGAACGCCGGTATGTGTTCGCTCACCTCCGGATCTACTGAGCCGACCTGTGACAGTCTCATTGTCACAGGTCGGCTAGAACTATGAGGTGAGTGGAAAGCACTCACCTCATAGTACTCCTTTAATGTGGTCAGGAAGCACATAATTCTCAAGGGTATTGGAAGGATCACCGAGTATTTAGTAGGGATTCATCCTCTTTTATTGATAAAAGTAACCAGCATGCTGACTAAAGGACAGTGCCATGCATGCTGTCCCAAACTTTGAAAATTAAGGTTTACATGCACTTTACTTGACAGCAACAATAGTAGGAAATTGAGGTACTTCAAATAACATTAAACTTCGGATTCATGCATGGGGAATGTCAGTAATTTAGTTTGTCTGCTCAAATACATTTGGCTGATTATCAGGTACATGCAATAGCTTTGTCCTGGAATTCCCTTATTCTATATTAATAACACCTCCTTGTAACCTGGTCACCTATGTAGTTTAGGCTTCAGGGGGATATATCACAGGAGGCTAGCCATCATCAATACAGAGCATGGGACTTCAGCTGCACTGTAGGGCCTCATTCACACTGCTAAGAGCCGGCCCGTACAGATCCGTATCCGGCCGCTCCCGGGAGGGACAGGTGCTGCGTGTGATTGTACACCTGTTCTTCTCTATGGGAGTATGCTGCTGTACGCTCACCCGAACTGCACATCCGTGTGGGTGCGGGATGGATCCTGTCTGCGTCCGAGCATGGACACCCGCATGGATGTGCAGTTCGGGTGAGTGTACAGAAGCGTACTCCCATAGAGAAGAACAGGGTGCTGAGTAACATTTTTATTAACCCTTACAGTGAGGCTACCTCCGCACTGCAAGGGTTAAGTGCTCATTTTTGCCTAGGGTCAAAAATATCAAAGTTATACTCACCCAAACCTTAGAGCCGGCTGGCTGTGACAGCGATCCTTCCTGTCTGTCTCCTCCTCTGCTGCAGCGATTGTATGGCCATCAGAGTTCTCACGTCCTATACGTTGTGAACAGAAAGTGATGACTCACAGGACCTTAGACCACTGCATTGGTGGGGGATGAGAGGCTCCAGGGACCAGTCTAAGAGCCATCCAGGTCGTAGGATCGGGTGTGTATAACTTTTTATTTTTGACCCTAGGCAAAAACAAGCACTTAGCTCTTGCAGGGTGGGGGTAGCCCCACTGCAAGGGCTAATAAAATTGTACCCGAAGTTCCCGAATTGTACCCGAAGTTCAATACTCTTCTCTTCAGGAGATGCTGTGTTCTGACACAATACAATAATTATGAGAGCATTAGTGAAAAGATCATTCTGGGCATCTCAGAAAAGTAATGCAGAAATGTCTGCATACTGACAAGGTTTTGATGCCTGTGGGTACAAGTGCAGCTATATAATAGAGCATTACCTGTAGGTAAGAACATCCTGGAACTTTACAAACTGCTGTGCGGTGATATTCAGCTCGTATATGACAGAATTAATGGCATATTCCTCTGGTTTTTGTGTCTTTATTCCTACAGTGTAATTGTGGCTGTTGGCTACAGCCAGGAAGAAGCGATCTTGAATTCTAAAAAACTCCCAATCTGAAGCTCCAAATGTCTGAAATATAACAATGAAAGTGTCAAGAGGTGCACTTTTACTTTCTATAACAGAAAAGTCTTTTTAGTCAAAGAATATGTACATGGAGAAAAAAATGCATTGCTCACAAAGCGAGTAACACTTCTTCTTGACATTAATACATTGTGTGAAAAAGTAAGTACACCCTATGGAAATTGTTGACTCTTTCTGAATATTTGAAAAGGCCAACATTAGATCTTCAAATAGCACCTACAGATAAAGCTAATATACCTGAACAAATAACACATAAAATTGACATGTGTGTGCAGATTTGTCATATAGAAAACGTAAGTGCACCCCTACATTTACCACCCCTTAAAATTCATGAAATTAGGATTCAGTGCTCCAGATTAGGTGCCATGTTTAGAACCCCCTTAGGGAGTATGCAGTTGGAACCTGTATTGTTCATTGTCATGATCTAAATCAACAAAAATGCAGATTTGTCATATAGAAAAGGTAAGTACACCCCTACATTTACCACCACCTTTAAATTAATGAAATTAGGATTCGGTGTTCCAGATCTGGTGCCAGCTTAGAACCTCCCTAGATAGTATTCAGTTGGAACGTCTTATTTAAACCTCAGATATCTAGGGTACGTGTTCTTTTTTCTAAAGATGTCTGCGGTGTCATAATGCCAAGAGTAACAATGCTCTATACAAGTCCTTCAAGTGGCAAGAGATTTTAAAAGGTCGCCACATTATTCGACTGAAAGGTCCTGTGCATAACATAAGCATTAGGTTGCAAATGATACATAGAACTAAAGTCTTAAAACTTGAACACATATTAATACTGGTATTTTCATTAAAATGATCTCTTTCACATGTATTTCTTAAACCCTTAATGCACTGATAAACCTTCACACTTGAGGTCGTTTCATGGGCTTTCCGATAATGTGACCACTGTGATTGGCTGTCAGACTGATCATGTAATTGAGAGCCTGTCCTACCTTCTCCAGATTATTACTCTGTGACCAGGAGCTGTCAATCAGTGAGGTCACAGTGCTGGGGTGCACAGTTAAGCATGCTCCTAACAGAAAATGGGAAACAAACATGCTGCCACATATATGCGTGAATGTAGAAAACATTGTACATTAGCTTTAAAAGCACCAGACAGTGGTTAATTGATTAAGTTACTCTGGCTGTAGAAGGGTCATCTTTAAAGTCTGGCCGGGGCCTTCTCCACCTCCACTCCCTGGCTAATCAATGCACCAATGTTTTAAAATAAAAAAAGGCACAAATACTCATGTCAATCCATGGTCAGGTAACATTCTGAGTCCTCAGGCAAATATTTTGTATTCACTGTTCTAGGCTACATTGTTGGAAGGTTGTGGTGGGGTAAGGTCCTTAGAGGTCCTGAAAACTCAGGTGATGTTACAATGAAAGGCTGTCCCAGAGTTCAGTAGTGGATCACTGCTCCTCACTCCCCAAAGAGTAGATGAGTGACGTGACAGAAGATTAAGGTGAGTAGAAAACCATGTGAGTTTTAGATTTTAAAAAACCCACTGTAACTGGATGGGAGGGGGATGATGAGTATGAAGATTTAAAATGTTTGGCATATATCTGTAGTCTATAACAACAGAATGTTAACATACAGTATTATCCTGAAGACAAGTAGTCAGGCTTGTAATGATGCTTCTATTATTATAAACCAAACAGAAGATACTGATCATATAAAGCACCATGTACAATGCTAAAGCAACTCACAAGATTCTTCAACGGGTGAAAATAGTTAACATGGTGTTATCATTTTGCCCTTATGCCATTCTTTTAATTGTAAACCCACCAGCTGTTTTTTTTCTAATTCATTTTACAGGTGGGTATTAATCTATTTATGAAGGATTTGTGAAAGTAATTCACCCTGCAAACTAATAACAAATGAACAGATGCATAGTGAAGGGCAGACGGAAACCCTACCAGTACTAAAAAGCCTAAGCAATAAACTAAAATACTCCTATCATGCCATACATAGTAAACATTTTAATATTATTGCTGTTGAGCAGATGCACTCAACCAGCCTGTATTATACCTGATGTCCCTACACTCCTATGACTAGCATGTCATGCCTAACTGAGCAAATTGTTTAAGCACAAGTTAGGGTTTTCCTCAGTAGTTGCTAAAGGCTAATTCCATTCTATAATGAAATTCAGAGTTGCATGCACCAATGCCTTTTGTGCATTCAAGGTTCAATCATCAAGAACCACCCTTAGGCCCCATTCACACCTGACCGTTTTGTAGCGCGTCCTACGCTCGACGAACGCGCTCCAAAACGGTCAAAAAAATAAATAGCATTGTAGTCAATGGTATCGTTCCCACCTGTCCGTATTTCCGCCCGTCCCGAACGCACTACAAAACGGCCCACGCCTGAAAAGGTCCCGGGACTACTTTGGGCCGTTTTGTAGGGCGTTTTCCATTTGGATACAGCCAAGTAGCCTTTGGAATCGTGCGACGGTCGCGCGACTTTTTTACCGCGAATCGCGGTAAAAAAACCGCGTGACGGTCGCGCCACAGACGCCCATATTACAATACGCCTAGGTGTGAATGGGGCCTTATTTATACAACTGGCAAATGCAGGAGACGGCTGAGCTTGAGGACCAAATCTCATCTAACATTGAACTTTAAAGTATAAAGTTTAAAGAATATGTTAATTTGGGTTTGTGTTAAAGTACAACTAAAGGATCCTATATGACAGTCTAAACAAGTATCAAATGCAGTTACTCCATGTGATAAGCAAGCCTCAGAAAATAATCAAACATTTCAGTTCCTTTGTCTTTACCGCTTCATTTTCCTTTACTTCCCCTAACTGAGCCAAATACCGCAGCCGATACTACAACATTTTTTTCATCTGACTGTATTGCAAGCAGATACAACCTACATGAGAGTGACAACTATGGTCTGAATTCAGGAGCAGTGCACCATCGCAGGAAGCTGCATTAGGTTTACTTTACTTGCTGGCTCAACAGCTATTTGTTCAGGGATCTTAGAGAAATCTGTAATTGCAGATGCACTCATGACTAAATGCTGCAGCACATATTTTCTTTTCATAGGAGGCTGTAGTTCTACTTTAAGCTGATCACTTTTTTCATGTATATCTAAACAGAACTTTAAACCTCTCAGTTAAAACAATGTTAAATTCTGCAGCACTGGCCTGGGGTTTGAGTGGGTTGGTGAAGTACAATTATCTGGATTTAATATTAAGGCTGTCACTTCCACATGCTGCAGCCACAGGTGGAGATGACAGCTTCAATGTTTTCCTTCATTGTTTTTTTAATTTACTATTTCAGTTAACCTTTAATTAAAAAAGAACTCTGGGCAGAATTATTCTTAACCCTCGCAGTGGGGCTACCCCCACATTGCAAGGGCTAAGTGCTCGTTTTTACATAAGGATGAAAATACAAAAGTTATACTCACCTGAACCTGAGACCCTGCAGCCTCTCTCTCCCTCTGCTCCAGTGGTCTAAGGTCCTGTGAGTAATCACATACTTTACACTGTATTGGACATTAGGACAGAGAGGGACATTACATCGTTGGAGCGGAGGAGGAGACAGGCTGAAGCGACTGGTCTAGCAGCCGCGGTTTGGGTGAATATATCTTTCTTATTTCTAAGTGCAAGATAGGTCTTTTAAAATATTGTTACTAAATAGATTGGCAGTTCTCTGATAATTTAGGAAGCCCCCTATTAATAGAGAACATCTGCCCTTGCCCAGAAATTCTAATAAATGCCATTATGAATCTTCACTGCCCCCATACCCTATCATGTGCCCTCCTGGTGCTGTGGTAGTCCTTGGGGTAAATCCACAGCCACTTTCAAATGACAGCGATCACAGCTGAGATAACATATCAAAGTGGAGATCAGTATAGTGGGTGGTCCCCTAGATGAAAGTGTCCCCAGGAACAAATGAACACCAGGATTAAGTGTGCTTCCATCCACAACACAATGGAACAACAGACAGACCCGGAGAGACTAAGCGGAGGGGCTACATGACTGGGGGGAGGAATAGTCCCGGGAGAAAGGGTTAACAAATAAATTGGGAATAGCTGCTCTTACCTTATTGGACGTGGGAGTCAGGTGTCCGGGAGGAGCTGCATAGGAAGGGACTGCGAGGGCTGAGGGACATCCTCTTTCTGGAATGCGACGAAGGAAGCAGGTTGTCCCACCCTCCGGCCCTGAAAGCTGGTATGGGTACTTCCCCCTGTTGGTGTCCGGACTTGTAAAGGGCGGGGCCTGGCCCCTTGGGAACCCAGAAGGAGTAAGTGCCCTCGAGCTGGTTGTGGTGCGGCTGGGGACATGGATGGAGTGTTATGAGAGGCCTTTTTGGGGCTGTTGGGTACCCAAAGACCCCTTCTCAGGTCAACCATTGTTTACAGTGTTATTTGTGTATATTATTTGGTTTATTATTTTTGGTTATTGTTAAAACTGTTTTGGTTAATAAAAGGGCTGCTGTGGCAGTTAAAATCCATGTTGCGCAGTCCGTGTGTTTATTGGGGTTTTTAACAGAGGGACAAAAATTGACGAATCCATCAGTCATGTACCTTGCTGTTGGGCTTGCCACCCTCACACTGCCAAGGCTGGATGTGCAATATCAACACTGAGCACTGCATCAGCCTCCGCCACATGGTTCCTAGGTGCTGCCAAAAAGGGACAGACCAGCACTGGTATTTCAAGCTATTGGTTAGTGAGCCAGAGAAGCAACCAGCACTCCAAAAGCCCAGTAGACACTGGGGGCAATAATATATTTTAAATAGATTGCACAATTCCATACAAATCTGAAGCAAAAAGTAACCTGCTGTAACTAAGAGCAATGAATCAGTATTTATCTTTCACTGATCTGACTACAGTAAACTGCCCAAGCATTCAAAATGTTACCCAAGCGGTACTAATAGCATTATGGTTAGTATGCATTTGCCTGCTTCGGAATTGCTATCCTTTCTCATGCATTGCACAAAGAGCTTGCAGCCTCTCAGAAGCAACATCTTAGAAAATAA